AGCATTTTTAATACTAACAGACATTTTTACAATAAATCTAGATAATTTGTTCAGATCCTGTGTGTTTGTTGTTGATAAGAGTTTTACAAATTTTATAATATTTGGCCATTCAGTATAATATGGTGAGAGAAATGTTCGCCTCTCTAATTTAAAATAATTACATCTGAATAAGTAGTGAAATTCATCAGCAATAGATGGGGAATTACATAATTTACAAGTTCTATTTTCCTTTGGAATATTTTTCCATCGACCAGTCTCATTAGGTAAATTATGATTACAGGTTGGAAAACGTAGTATTGGAATTGCTATTCGTTTTGGCAATAGAAGATATTTATCGAGAACCGGAGTGTCCTTTAAATGTTTATAGTATAAGCCTTTAGAAATAGAATTAACGTCACTTCTCCATTTCTGAAAAAAGTGATCTTTAAGTATTTGCTCTACTTCTGACACTAGCCACTTTGTTGTGCAGATTGACGGATTGTTAAATACATAAGATAATCCAATACTGTCTAATATATTCATAACACATCTAACCCAGGGATTTGTTGATGCAATAGTCTTGTTCCCGTTAAATTGACAGATATTGATATAACAGCTGTGAAAGTTTATACACACCAGTTTGATATGTTAATTTGTGCCAGAAAGATATCATTCGTTTACAAATTATTATTCTTAATGGTAGCCTACCTAATTCGCCATATATCATATAAGGAGGAGTTGGATTTCTTAATCCTGTGATAAGTCTGAGGAATTTGAGGTGTATTCTTTCTATAATTTCTAAATTTTCAAAGCCCCAGATTTCTGAACCATAAGTTGATATTGGTAATATCATCGTATCAAAAGCTGATAATACACAGTCCAAAGGTAAATTTAAATTTCTTGATTTTTTTATCAGGCAAAACATTGCTTTCAAAGCATTATCACTGAGGGACTTTAGACTTGATACTAGTTTTCTATTCCTGTGAAGTACAATTCCTAAATACGTATAAGTGTCGACAATATCTAGAGTTTTATCAGAATAGTGAAAGTTATGTTTCGAATTTTTCGATGGGCCACCACCGAAAATCACAATTTTTGTTTTATTTATATTTACATGTAATTTCCACTCTTCACAATATTCATTAAAAGTGTCCAAGGCTTTCTGTAAACCTTCTGGTGATTCATCAAATAATACAGCATCATCTGCATACAATAGAATTATGAATTGGATCCATACAATTAAGTCTTTATCTCGATCATAGTTGAGATTAACTCCTCCACACCCAGATGAAAGCAAAAAGATTTCGACGTCATTTATGAAAATTGAGAATAATAGAGGGGATAGGTTTTCTCCCTGTCTGACACCTATATTACAAGGAAAGTAACCTTTAGTAAAGTAAAAGCTTTAGTAAAGTCTATGAAAGCGCAGTATAATTTTTGTTTATTATTTTTTAAAATTTGCATAAGCATATAAATTACAAATATATTGTCAGCAGTTGAGAAAGATTTCCTGAATCTTGCTTGGGCAGGTGTTAGAATATTATTTTTATCTAAGAATTTAGTTAAACGGTTGTTTAAAATTCTGGTGAATAGTTTTCCAAAGCGACTAAGGATAGTGATTGGCCTATACGAGTTAGGATCAAGTGGGTCACCTTTTTTCTTGTAAATCGGTTTAATAATACCCACTAACCAAGATTCTGGAAGTATACCCTTTTCAAATATCAGGTTAAATAGTTCAACTAACAAAGGGGTTAATAAATCAATACTATCAATAAAATAATCATTTTCTATAAAATCAATACCGGATGCTTTATTTCTCTTTAGTTCTCTTACTGCTATCATAACTTCATCAGGTGTGATATCTCCATGTAAAGTTTCACAGTCATATTGTGTATCCATAGTACATTCCTTCATTTCCGGGTCTTCTGAAGTTGTCTCATTGAGTGACTTAAAAAACTGGTAAAATTCGTCTATTTCAGGACAAATATTGTCATCTTTTTTATCTCCTTTTAACATTTTCCAAAACTCTTTTGGAGAGTGTTTGTGTTTTTCTCTTAACATTTTACCTAAGTTATCTTTATATTGTTTTATATGCTTATCCATACATTTCTTATAAGCCTTAGATTCATATTTTAACAGGCGTTTGTTATAAATAGAATTAAATCTTTTCAAGCGGCGTTTTGCTTTGTAAAAACTTTTTCTAGCATTTATACATTCCTTTCCAAACCATGGTTTGTTCATCTTATATTTCTTACCGACACCCTGCCTCCGGGTCCCGAAGGCAGGGCGTGCAGCGTCTATCAGCACGTGCCCGGCCTCTTCAGTTATGTCATTGATCAGATGTGGGTCAGCTTGGGCTTGTCTAGCCACATGTGCTTTCCGAGTGAGAATGTTTACCTTTTCAGCATTTAAATGTTGTAGAAACCTGTTAGTTCTATCTATATTATAACGTTTTGGTCTGGGATGAGTATTGTATACTGTATTTACTTCGGACTGGATACCTACAGTTTGTTCTTGGAGTACAGTGGTGGCTGAAGAAAAGGACACTGGGCAGTGCACATCTGAATACAGGGGTGAGAAGTCTAAAATTGCTAAGTCAGTAAACAGAGGTAAGCACAAGGGGGAGGCTATAACATAGTCAACTACACTAACATCATTACATGTTATTTTACCTACATTTTTATCCTGTCCCAGTCTACCATTACAGATGAATAAGTTAAGATTTGTACATATCTCTATTATTTTATTACCTGAATTATTAACCCTTGCATTATCTTGATTAGCCCCGAACTGTGGTATATTAAGTTTATCTAATAATTTATCAGGCTCAAGTTCATTACCCATATCATTTATATCAATATCAAATTCTTCGAGTACTTGCTTATTGAATATGGTATAATCACATAGCTGTTTAGTTCTTGCATTGAAGTCACCCATCAAGATAACATACTCACTCAAAGAGAGAAAATAAAGTAAATTCTTTTCAAATTCATTGAATGTCTCACTTGTAAAGTAATTTGAATTTTCCGGAGGTATATATACTGTTCCTAAAAACAGATCTTGTTTGGTGTTACATAGTGTCTTTGATATTTTTATCCACAGTACATATTCACATTCGTCTTCTGTTATAACTGATATGTAATTTTCCAAATCCCATCTTATTGCTACCCCCAAGCCACCTGAACGTCTAATTGCTCCATTCCTATGCTGAAAGTACAGTTTATAACCTGGTAATTGAAGATCATCTAGATCATCAGTTTTGGTTTCCTGAAATCCTATGATATCCTTGTTTTTAATAAAATTGGTAAATTCTTGATATTCTAACCGCTTTCTGAGGCCACATACATTTAATGAAAGTAGTCTTAGATGATTGTGGTTACTTGCATCATAAACATTATCATTTTCATCGTCATCGTCATCATCACCTTCACCATCATCTTCATCAACAATTTCACTGTTATCATCTATACATTCATTAAAAACATCAACATTATCAGCGTCGACAGTCATGCCCTCATTTTCTTGTACATTATCAGCATCAACAGTCATGCCCTCATTTTCTTGTACATTATCAGCATCAACAGTCATGCCCTCATTTTCTTGTACATTATCAGCATCGACAGTCATGCCCTCATTTTCTTGTACATGATCTGCATCGACAATCGTGCCCTCATTTTCTTGTACATTATCAGCATCGACAGTCATGCCCTCATTTTCTTGTACATTATCAGCATCGACAGTCATGCCCTCATTTTCTTGTACATTATCAGCATCGACAGTCATGCCCTCATTGTCTTGTACATTATCAGCATCAACAGTCATGCCCTCATTTTCTTGTACATTATCAGCATCAACAGTCATGCCCTCATTTTCTTGTACATTATCAGCATCGACAGTCATGCCCTCATTTTCTTGTACATGATCTGCATCGACAATCATGCCCTCATTTTCTTGTACATTATCAGCATCGACAGTCATGCCCTCATTTTCTTGTACATTATCAGCATCGACAGTCATGCCCTCATTTTCTCGTACATTTTCAGCATCGACAATCATGCCCTCATTTTCTTGTACATTATCAGCATCAACAGTCATGCCCTCATTTTCTTGTACATTATCAGCATCAACAGTCATGCCCTCATCTTCTTGTACATTATCAGCATCAACAGTCATGCCCTCATTTTCTTGTACATTATCAGCATCGACAGTCATGCCCTCATTTTCTTGTACATTATCAGCATCGACAGTCATGCCCTCATTTTCTTGTACATTATCAGCATCAACAGTCATGCCCTCATTTTCTTGTACATTATCAGCATCAACAGTCATGCCCTCATTTTCTTGTACATTATCAGCATCGACTGCCATGCCCTCATTTTCTTGTACATAATCTGCATCGACAGTCATGCCCTCATTTTCTCGTACATTATCTGCAGTCATGCCCTCTTTTTCTCGTACATTATCAGCATTAACATTGGGATACGATGACATGCATAAACCAAGTCAGCGAGCCTGACCACCCGTTTAGTCGCCCCTAACGACAAGCATAGTCGCCTTTCGCGGCAAGCATGGGTTGCTGAAGACATTTTCTACCCCGGATCTTCACGGGTCTCTTTATTTACTGTGAAGGCGACGTTAAGGTTTAGATCCGTTGTCAAGCGAGGTTGGAAGCCTTTACAGTAAATAAAGCAGTTGTTAATAAGTCAAATAATAGCTAGCAGTCAACCCATGAGCGCCACTTACATGTTGCACGTCAGCGTTCTTTACAGTTCATTTTGGATTTATGGTATCCCCAAGGAGAAAGTACTTTGTAAATATAAGCGACAAACCCCTTCCCATGGTAATAAAAAATACCTGCCCGAAGCAGAGTCGATTGTACGATTCCGGCTGTATCATGAACATGTTTCCATACATCACTACCTGAGAGTGTTGTGCACATGCCATGTTCCTAATGTCATATCCTTTGAAACGTTCCAACAACCTAGCGATTCACGAATCATGGAAAATATAATTATACATACACTGGTTGGTTGTAGTACTGCCAGTTCCAGTAGTATAATACAAATAATCCACAGCAAAACACCAACACGCTGTAAATGCGGGCCTTGGTATTGCAGGTCTTCATGACAATATCGGAGAATACCATCCGTTTTCCCGACTGACAGTGATCTAATGCGGCAGGGCGGCAAACCAGCTGACATGGGCCTGGTAAAAACGTGTCACTATGACATTCAATGGTCTGATGCCCTTCTGTCAGCAGTGTCCTCAATATTGAATGTGGAGGTATATTTAATCAGGGCATGTCAGTTCTCCAGTATCTGGCTCTGATAGGCGTGTCATAGCGACTGATTTATGACTACCATTGTCTGCAGTACAATTGACTTCAAGGGCAATTTACCCTGTAGCCATGTCTCCATAACTTAATTGTCATTACGTTTTAGGCGCTAATCCCCGTTGTTAATCCTCACCAACATTTCATTGTAGTTTGACTGTCAGTCAGCCTGGACTACCATATCACTTCCCTTTAACTACTGCTTTTTATAGTATGGCATTTATTGCCCTAATTGATCATCCCATGAACTGTGTTTGTTAATCACGCCCATATGTCCAAAGCAACGTCGTTGTCTCTTTGTCTGTCCATTGTTGTTCATTACTATATATGTGCTACCATTACACAGTTACTACGGTGTTAGTCAGGCTTGGTATTCCGAGTGCTGGCATAGGGACGACCTCGAGCAGGATATGCTGCTCGTAGGAAACGCCCTGAGGTGAGCTCGAGCTCCGTTCACCTCTTGTACGCCTGAGCTGGAAAGTCCGCTCATTGCTGTGTTTGTGTTGTCAGAGCAGGTATTCCGCTCATTGTGCAATTGTTGTTTATTGTTTACATGTTGTGCATAAAGCGTTCCGGGACAGTGATGTCGATTTTGTCCTTTATTCCCCAAGAGGTAATTCCCCGTCAACATGCACGTTGACAACTGGTGTTAGAATCCGGCTGGTGTAACTCTTGAGTTTACTCCCGATCCAGTAGCCTCTCTGTATGCCTACCACCCTGAAGAACAATCATCAACTCGAGCCATGAAGAAACAAGATTGAAGAAAACAACAGGAATCTCTCCGAATCTCTCAAGATTTCGTTCATACACAGGACCAAAGAAGTATAAACGCCTATCCCACAGTGATCCTGACCACAGCCATCATGATGCAGATCATACAGAAACCGCCTCACGGGCACCTACAAGATAGACACTGTGTACAAGATATCTCATTGGGGCTTACTAATTTGTGTTTACTTACATGGACTCATTCCAGGATATATATTGTGTGACTGTTGATAAGTGCAACCAGGTATGTTTAATCAAAGCCAGTATATTAATGCCAAAATGTGTCTTTCCAAAATTAATTTTTATATGTGCAATATACACCAATTCCATGTTTAGTCACGCTAGATCTTTGAAGTTATTGTGTAGGGAATCTTTGAAATGTCTCTAGGCCACGCCAGACATATAGATACAGCTAGGGCCCAGACAAACCTAAGCTGTAGGGTTATCGAGTCACACCTGAAAGTTAGACTCGTAATTTCAAAAATCTAAACGACCAAATTTGTCATTCGTTACAAGTTTTTAATGTGCACAGTTTGGTACAAAATTGAAAGTATTGTGTTGGAATTTGAATTCAGATTAGGGATTTTCTTGGGTTATCCACCCACACACATGTATATTGTATGTCAGTATTAAGTAATTAACAGCACAGCGGTATTCAGCATTTCAGAATTTTGATGTCGGAATTAAGGATTATTATTTTCCTTGGGCATAGCACCCACAATATATGGGCAAGCTCCGTTAAAGACACGGGAAGAGCACCCATTGTACTTAAACGGGCAAACGTACCCACAAGTAACGTTTGAGTCGCGCGGTAAAGTTAGACTCCTGGTTTCAAATTTCTTTATGTGAAATATTTGCTGAGATGTTTAATTTGTACTTTTTATGACATTACTCATTATCATTATTCAGTACAGAGTCGCACCGCCAAACCAGACTCCTGAATTCAAAGAACCTCAATAATATATTTATTGAATCTGTCCAAAGCGGTAATTAACTCGTAGTGAATTTGCACATTACAAAGATCACTTTCAAACTGGCACTTAATCAAATTGGCTAGATGATCACTTTCATACCGTCATTGCATAGGTATATTTGTTGCACAAGAATTTCAACGATATCATGAATTCATCTAACTGATTTTGTTCACATTTTGCACTATTGTTTCCGTTGGTGAAAAAGTTCACACATATCAATTTGGACTTGTCAAAGCTTGGGGTCCAAGCTTCACGGAACGGAGGGAAGTTGTCATAGCGACTGATTTATGACTACCATTGTCTGCAGTACAATTGACTTCAAGGGCAATTTACCCTGTAGCCATGTCTCCATAACTTAATTGTCATTACGTTTTAGGCGCTAATCCCCGTTGTTTATCCTCACCAACATTTCATTGTAGTTTGACTGTCAGTCAGCCTGGACTACCATATCACTTCCCTTTAACTACTGCTTTTTATAGTATGGCATTTATTGCCCTAATTGATCATCCCATGAACTGTGTTTGTTAATCACGCCCATATGTCCAAAGCAACGTCGTTGTCTCTTTGTCTGTCCATTGTTGTTCATTACTATATATGTGCTACCATTACACAGTTACTACGGTGTTAGTCAGGCTTGGTATTCCGAGTGCTGGCATAGGGACGACCTCGAGCAGGATATGCTGCTCGTAGGAAACGCCCTGAGGTGAGCTGGAGCTCCGCTCACCTCTTGTACGCCTGAGCTGGAAAGTCCGCTCATTGCTGTGTTTGTGTTGTCAGAGCAGGTATTCCGCTCATTGTGCAGTTGTTGTTTATTGTTTACATGTTGTGCATAAAGCGTTCCGGGACAGTGATGTCGATTTTGTCCTTTATTCCCCCAAGAGCTAATTCCCCGTCAACATGCACGTTGACAGGCGTACTACGTCTCCCTGCAGAAGGTGACACTCCATTTTAAGAAACCTCATTGAACGACAATTCGACGAGGACGATGAATTCTGTAAATAGTACCCCAGGGTTTCTTGTGGTTGATATAGTGTTGCGTGCTCTTAGTATAGAGACTGTTTTAACTTTCAATAATTTACTGTTTATTCGCGATGGAAGAGGACGACTTGTGAATAAATATTTTGTAATGTGATATCTAATGTTTTAAAACTGTTGCCGTTGCTTTACACGGCCAGGACGACATGCGGGTTTTTTTTGGAGTGTCTAGATACATTTGTCTTGCGGTTTAGTATTGTAGAGAGCTTTACATAGACAGCACGACATTACAGACCTCCTTCAAAATTTGTAATGCTATAACGAATGCCAGATCAACACTCACCTTCATTGTTTTCACTTTTCACAATTTGTTAATATTAACTGAAACAACAGGCTTCCAAACTAACGGGGAAAAGAAAGCATTCACTTGAACATCCACACATTGCTTACCATTTATTGTTTAATTCAGTTGTAACCACCAATCAAGCACGTGCGTATAATTTCTTTTGCCCGCCAGATTATTATAATAATAAACCCATATAGTAGGACATATTTTCATATTTCGGATATTTTAGAAGCATATTACTTCAGTTTATTAAAAAAAATCGAAAATTCGACTGAAGCCTCCCCACATCATGAGACGCCCTCAACCATACGGCACGACCTCCTGAACGCAAGGGGGCACGGGTGGCCCAGTCGTCTAAGGCGCCGCGATTCGCTGTGCAGAGTTGCGTCCCTTGGGCACGCCAGAAACCTATGATTGTGGGTTCGAATCCCGGCTCGCCCCGATTATGTTTCTAGGTTTGTCAGCACCATACCCGTGCTCGTGGGTTTCACCGAAGAGGTAAACGTGTGAGACCTGCATCACTTCGGGCTTTCCTCCCACATTAAGCTGACACGCCGTGATATAACTGGAATAGTGTTAAAAGCGGCGTTAAACAAAACTTACTCACTCACTCCTGAACGCAAAATGCCGACTTCGGCGGTGAACACGCGGTCTTTCATCAGCTCTGACAGTCACGTCGCTGCCAACGACCTACAGTATGGGCCCACCTCAATCCCTGACGACGACCTTGCGCTGCCAATAACGATTCCCTGTAAGGTTCGGGGGCTCTAATTCATTGAGGCCTGTCGACTAACCATGTGCATTCGTCGCTGATGACGTTACTGTCAGTAATCGATACGGAGATGCAGAGTACACAAGTACAGGTCTTCATTGGGCGTAGTTACCCTGGGTCTGTCTGTTCTTGGCATGTCTGATGCATGTCCGATCGTGCCTTGAATCGCTGCTCGTTGTTCTATTACAAAACAAATGTGGTCTGCCCTCTTGAACAAACTGCAACATAAAACTTCAACACCACAGGATAACCAGTCTCGATTATCCACCGGAACAGATTCCATTGGGCGTAAAATGGAAAATAGTAGCGAAAATATATGAACGGATCACTGAAAGTCAGTGATGTCACCAGGTTTCCACGACAATGGTAAGTATGTCCTGCCCTAACGGTACAACCGCCACTCACACAATTTACATTCAAAGTACATGGAGGATATCTGGCGCAGGCACGAGTGCAAAATGTCAATTTTATCAGTTCTCAGGGTTTGATAAACATGTTATTTGACAACAAAAAGACTCATGAGTGAGAGAGCGTTATTGTTACACTAATAAATGGATCTATATTATGATAATCGCTCAATCGGACTCGCGTCGGACGTATCGTTAATTGAGGGATATATGTTTTAGTGTTGGTTTTACCAGGCTGTGGTAAGTCGGACATGTTATTGAGAAAACTATGTACAAATACGAGCTACACTTCTGTTCTATTTTAGAACGAAAGTTGAAGAACTTCATGATATTTACATCATTAATGGGTTTTTTATGTCTTCTTTCATGTACTGAACATATAATAAAATTGTAAAATACAAAAAGGTGAGTATCGAGTTAGCATGATGGTATCCCCGCGGTTTGACCGAGGCCGCCCCGACGAGGATAGATCCAATGCTTTAGGCTCATAGGAAAGATTCGATATCAACCCACCATGCCACGGCTCTCCCGGCAAATAACACCAAACCTTAACTACATATGTCAATATCAGCGGTAGCCATCTTGTTGTGCAAGACCATTCGGTATCACTCGGCCGCACTCGACAGCTTTCGTAGCAATCCGATCGATCATTGATGGTACCACCACCGTTGCACCGTCAGGATATTCCTCGTCCGTGCTGAAACTGAATTACTAACTGTATAGCAACGATTATTTCTACCAGTGTGTTTAGCCGTTATGCTATTTACACGAAAATGTTGAAAGATGAAGTTTTGGATGAATCTACATCCCCACTAATAAATCCTTGCTGTTAAGAGATTTGTGGCAACACGTGGCAAAGGACAACCGGTGCCGCTCATATGTGTCAAACATGTGCCTATTCATTCCTGATAAATATT